GGTAATTAAAATAGTTTTAAATAATAATTCACTATTTACTTTCTGACTTATAACTAAGAGTCCATTCAAGTAACTTTTCTCTAAGAAAATGCCTAACATTCTCATTACTTATTTAAACAAGGATACTCAGGGCTAATGTCTATAAAAATGAAAAACAGAATTGATGCCCATTCATGTTTCATTTTACTAATAACAGCCACAGATACATGGACTAATTTAGAAGGATCCATCTATTCATTTAGCTTAATTGTCCAATTATATAACTTTACTTGGTAGGTTTTAGATTTATCAAAATATGCTATATGTTTCTTTGATTATTGTGTACTAAAAATTGGCATAAAGAGAATTCAATCTAGAAAACTTCAAAGTTCAAACCAACAATGATACAAATTGTCCAGTTTTCAAAACTGAGTTTGTTGTGGTTTTTAAGTGAGCATAGGCGACAATGCCATAGGATTTAGGGTCCATTTGAGGCAGGAGATTAGGGTGTGGCAGCTGCTGAGCAAGTGGATGTGATCTGTCAATCACGGAGATCCAGGGCCCGGGAGCAGAATACAGTTTCCAAGCCCTGATTCTGGTACCAATCAGTAAGTGTTATCTTCAGTTCTTCTGACTGGAAATCAAGCAGGCTTTTGATAGGATGGCTGAGATCTGAGGTCAGCCGGAGGAATGGTAGATAGAAAAGATGGCCCAGGCCAATGGGCTCACTCTACAGATCATACTTCTTTTCCTACTTTTCATCTTGTCCAATTCTTTGTTCAGGACAACAAGAACCTGGAAAGAATCTCTAGGAGTCTACAGAACCTCAGAATCCTAGTAATACATTGGATACAAAATGTGATTTAAAAAAAATTAATATTTATAATATGCTAGAAAGTATCTGTCTTGCCATTATTCAGATTTATAACAGAGACTTTTAGTAGTCTAACTGAATTGTGCCTGGGGCTTCATACATTTTCTAAGTTCTTTTAGGAAGTATGAGAGAAAAAATTTGAAGACCACTGATTTAATCTATCAAATCTTTTGAATTTTAACAGTTGATGATGACAGACTATCCTGTTGGTTCTGTTTCTCTGGAAAATCATGACTAATACAATAGATTATGCTATGAGTTTCTCTTGATCCTTCGGGTTTGGATCTTGATATTTAAAGTTAAGCCTCTAGATTTGAAAAAAAAAGGAGAGGGCAAAAGAGAAGAGCCATTTTCTCTCCAATCCTGCTGCTTACAATAGAGAGTCATGCCCCATTAGACCTTTGGAGTTCACATTCATGACTTTTGTTCTTCCTGGACGGTCCTACCCTGAAGGTGGTATAAACAGAGTGCTAACTGCTAAATGATAGGTGAAAGGAAAGAGCACCAGGAATTAAATAGCATCATAGTTTAATAATTTAAAAAGCAGGGCCACTTCTATTGGGTCATCCTGCACATTTTCCAAGAGATCAGACCACAGTGCTTCCAGGAAGCTGGCTGCCAGTAACTGGTAACTGATAGCAGGAAGCTGCAGCCTGCTCAGTCCCAAGGCAGCCTGCCAGGATGATGTCACCGTGTTCTTGGAATTGCAGAGGATGCGTGGTCAGTGTTTATCTTACACTGGATGAGGATCTGGGCTCACCTTCCAGAGGACCGACGGCTGTCTAGCTGGCCATGTCTCTGGATGGGGAGTAATTCTTTCAGGGCCCATTTGGAGCCATGGCGTGGGTGGACTCCAGGAGAAAGGCAGGATCCTTTCCTCCAAGTCCTAGCTGTTTGATAGATGTTCTTAAATTTTAGAGTGAATAAGCGTGGTTTTGAAAGATTGTTGAATTAATGTAGAGCCCTGGAAACTCCAGATCATCTGATTCATGGGTCTAGGTTTGGCCTTAGGACTTTACTTTTTAAAAGGCTGCATCTAGACCATGTTTGAGAAGATTAGACTCATAGTTAGAGAGGCTAGAGCAAACATTTATTAATCAGTTAGATCCAGGCCAGGGGGCTCCTACCTTGGGCTCTGTGGTTTCGAGGCCCTGTTCTAGCCTTCTGGCTATGTCCTTCCCAGAGGGATGAGGAGATGGAGCGCTCAGGGGAATGGGCCAACATTAGGACTGTGTGACCAGCCTTCTAGATCTTGAGCTGGGGAGAGAGGGTGAAAGTTAATTGTCTTAGTTTAAGAATGTGGCCATGAGATTATGGAGATTATAAATTCTGTGGTCTGTGAGCAGCAGGCCAGGAAAGCTGGTGGTAAAATTCAGTTCAAATCAAAATGCCTGGCAACCAGGGGAGCCGATGGTATAAATGCAGGTCAGGACCAGGGGAGAAAAGATGAGAGGACCCTGCAGAAGCAGGTGGGCAGGAAGCACACAGGGCTGCTCTCTTCCTCCCTCTGTTTTTGGTTCTGTTGAGGGTGTTGGGGAGGGCAGTTAACTTTAGCGAGTCCACCAACTCCAAAGCTAATCTCTAGAAACATCCTATCAGACACAGCCAGAAAGATTTTTCATGTGGGCATCCTGTGGCCAGTCAAACGGACACATAAAATGACATCACAGGCACTGAGCCATCTCCCAGCTACGTGTGGGATCCCTGTCCGACCTCCAGAGAGCATCCCCCTGGGGCTTAGCAGTGGGCAGGACAGCTGCTTGAGTGACACCGATGGATTTGGCAGGGTGAGCTGCACTGCCCCCTACTGGTCGAGGAAGCCCTATAGAGGGCTGGCTGTGGAAAAGGAGGGGTGGAAGGGTGCTGGTGGCCGGGATTGGTGCTCCCTGTGCTGCCAGCTTCCTGCCCTGGCTTTCCAGGTTGCTGTGAAGATGTGTGCATCAGGCAGAACAGGTCATGTTTTTATTCCACAGCCTGTGAGCTCTGATTCATAACTTCTAAATATCCGGATATAGGGCTTGTCAGCCTTCATTGCTGCTCTTAACTCAGACCCCACAGATGCTCAGGGAAAATCTGGTCGATGTTTTCAAATTAGTAATATCTTAGGATTGATTTTTTTTTTTTTTCTGATCTGGAAACTGCCCTTCAAGCCAGGGCCCAAGGAAGGAAACTGGGCAGGTAAAGGAACTGTGACCCCAGGCTTGGCCTTGCTGCAGGGCCCAGGGAGGGAGACAGCCAGGCCTGGGTGACAGACCTAAAGCTGGCATGTCCACTGGGCCTATCTGTGTCCTGTCATTTAGGACAAGGGGGTTGGGTGGGGCATCTTTTGGTTTTGCAGAGCTGGAAGATTTGAGCTATGGGGCTCCACCCAAGTTTTCCAAGATCTGTCCATAAAAGTAATGATGGTACATCTTTAATATTAAAGAATTAGGCTATAAAAAAAGTTCAGTCCAGAATTGGTTTTTAAAAGATCATTTGTGCTCCTTGGTAGGGGCATACTAAAATTCCATGGGTTTGTTTACTTTCCAGTATTTCTTACTGACCAATTCCAACAAAAAAGAGCCATTTAATACAATGAACTGGCCACTGGCCATTGCTATATATTTTATTTTATTATTATTTTTTTGGTACTGGGGATCGAACTCGGGTCCTTGCACTTGCACAGCAGGTGGCGAAACCACTGAGCTAAATCCCCGGCCCAAGGCCATTGCTATATAAATGGTATACTGCTTCTCACTGGCTGTATCAAGGTTCATCTGGTTTGATTCTCCTTTGCTTTAAAGTTCTTCTAAAGCTAACCTGACAGCCAAGTACTTTGATAAGTGATCAACAGTGGCATTACCTAAAGTCTTTATGCATCTTGTCTGTGTACTGTCATCTTTTTCCATAAGTGTGGGATGAGGCCTGAATACTAACTCAGTTTCGCTAGCACCATCCATTACTGGATCAGTTGCTACTGTTGCATTGTTATTATCAAGTTCAAGCCCAGAATCATCAGATGTTTTGGTCCGTTTGTTACTAGGGCCTGCTTCCTTATTGCTATGTGTGGATGCATTACTACAGTGCAAACTGTCACCATTATCTTCTGCTCCACTACCGTTTTCAGTCTGTTTCTTGCCCTGATGTAATCTGTTCATGGCCTGGATCTTCAGACCTTCTTCAGTTCTATGACTGAGTGCCTGCTGATTATTGTGCTTGTTGATCCTGGCTAATACTCTCTCTTAATGAGCTTCATACTCATCACGACTTGGATAAGTTTTGCTGATGAGTGCATCAAAGTTTGGGTCTGGCCTTAGTGATCTTTTGGAAACGAGTTTTTTCCTACAGGTAGGACATTCTTTGTTACCACTTATTAGGGCTGTGATAATACAATCTGCACAAAAATGGTGCAAACACTGCTTTGTAGTTGTAGTATTTTTCGGCATATCTAAACAAATTGGGCACATTAATTCGCTGTGAAGACTTCTAGAGGTGAAACCACAATTTCCAAGCCATCTGTTATTGCCTCTGAGGTGTTCATTGTAATTTGTATAAGCTCAGTTCCCATGTTTTGCTTAATGGCTGAGTTGCATTTGTCTGCACAGCCTGAGACATTGCGGCTCCTCCGCTGGCCGCTGCTGGAGCGAGACTCTGGGATCAGCTGCTGCGGCCCCTGGCACCACTGCACAATGCCAAGTTTTCTAATTGTATTCTCTTAAGCCTCCCCAGCATGAATCAAGTTGCCCTAACTTTGTCTTGGAGAGAAATATGGTCTTCCAAAACATATGTTTTTAGGACAACCTTAAAACATTTTCAAGAATGGTTACATTTAAAAAAAAAAACAACTTATTCAGACTGTCAAAACCAAAAAGGGCTGTTGAGAGTTTAATTATTTTACAAATGCACTATTAAAAGAAACTTTGACTTATTTTTTAATGTATTCCACACACATTGGAAGGTGTGAAAGGCATCATTACATGACAGGAACTCACTTGATACAATATGGCACTTTTTAAATGGAAATATTCCTTAAAATACCCAATTACTTTTGTTTTCATTCTCTGTTTCCATCAGGCCTACTATGTACTGTTGTCTAGTAATTGACTGCATAAGGGCGCCTTCTCTAAGAAATGAATGGGGGCCAAAATCCCATCTGTCTTCTCATCAGGTGATGGACTGTATCCTGCAGGAGGAAGAGTCTTCATTCTAATCACAAAAGCCGCAGTCAGCTTGTCAGATTACACACCTTGCTTGTAAACAGGAGCATTTCCTGGGGCAGCCCTCAAAGTCACCATGTAATTGAGGAAGGTAGGATGGTTCCACACTGAGGAATCCTAATCCTGGGAGACTTCAGGGAGGTGTTCATCTGGGAATTTAATTTCTTTTCTCTTCCCTCACTGTACCACATCACAGCCACAAGAAATAATACTGTCCCGGGAAGAAAATACTGGCAAAGAGAATGAAAGAAGAGAACAACCCAGAGAAGAGAGCATCTTACTGTTGCTTAACCTGTAATGGAACAGCTAGAGTAGGAAGATAGGGTTGACAGACTCAAGTGAGCAGGGAGCTCTGCCTGGCTGCACCAGTGCCCTCCATGTCCCTTTGGGTGGCTCCGCCAATGCCTGCCTGTCTGCTGCTGCTGCCCTTGTGGTACCCTACATGCCTGTGTCCCTTCATCTCTGTCCTCATGGGGCCCAACAGCTTCTACCTCCTGTTGCCTTCCAGTCTTCCAGAGCCCCCCACCCCTGCCCTGAATTGTGCTACAAGGGACTGTGGGAAAACAAGCCTCAGGCTCGTGGGCTGTCTGCCTTGGGGAGAGCAGAGAAACATCGCAGAGTGACAGTACCACCATCAGTACCAAAATGCGACTTCACTGTCACCTGACTGCTTTCTGGTGTCATTTTTGTGGCACTGTTATGATGTTAGTGCATTCATGTACAGAGCTAGGCATCATCTGCTGCAGTGGGGAAGGAAGAATAGGAAAAAGTATAGGAGTCTTGTTCACCTCTCTCCCCAGCACCTGTCACGGTATTCCACAGACAACAGACATTCAATAAATATTGGCGTCTTAGTATGTGTTTCTCCTGTAGAGAGTTCCTAGTGTCCCTCAGATGTCTCAGTCTCCATGCTACTAGAGACTATATAAATGAATTGTATGTTCCCTTTGGAGGATAATTTGTTAAGCTACATCAAAGCCTGGAGAATGTACATATTGTATGGCCAGCAATTTCTAGGAATTTATTATAAAGGAATAATAGAACTAATATATAAAATGGCATGTTTACAATATAGAAAAATGTAAATGTCCTTTCATAGGAAATGTGTTTGGTATATTTCTAGAATGGGATATTATGCAGTGATTAAAAATGATGGTGAATTTGATTGACATGTGTGAAGGTTTAATCCTGATTGTCAAGCTGATTGAATTAAGAGATAGATGACTACAGAGATGACTGATTTGTGAGGGCTCTAACTTCATCAATCAACCAACCCATTGATGAGTTCTTAGCTGAATGGGCTACTGGGAGGTGGGGCATAGTTGGGAGACGTAGGTCACTGAGGGGAGGGTTATATTGAAGGGTATGACTTTTCTCAGGCTCGCTTTCCTTCCTGGCTTCCATGGGGTCAGTGGCTTTCCTCTGCCATGCCAGTTCACCTTAGTGCTTCTCCCTCACCACAAGCCTACAACAGTGGAATAGGATAACCATGGACTGAAGCCTCTGAAACTGTGGGCCAGAATAAATCTTTCCTCCTTAAAGTTGTCTTTCTGGGGTATCTAGTTACAGCAATGAAAAGCTGACTAACATGAACAGATAATATTTCAACTGAAGTAATTCAGAAGAATATATATTTTCTCAATGTTGAAAAAGAATAAAGCAAATTGTATTACAGAAACATTAAAAAAAATTCAAGCATGCAGAGCTGGAAACCACACGTTTCTTATGTGAGTTCATCAGTTGTGAATGAAGGAAGCCATTAGTGCAGTCACAGTTAGGAGGACATCTCTGAGACCTGCTCAATCCTGAGGTTTCTCACTTGGGCTGCATGGAACTCACTGACAATTACAGCATAATCCTGTCTCCTTTGCCTGGGCTCTGGGTGTCTCACTCTGATGAAGACCCTGGTGTCCTCCAGGGCATTCCCCGATAGACAGTCCTGGGGGCAGGCAATCTTCTGACTCTGAGCATCTTCTGGTCATGGTGGTGGCTATGCTTTCTCCCCCACACTGTGCCAGGGGGCCTGGAAGTGGGCTGCATTTATTTTTCACTCTTTGCCATTTCTGGATCATTCTCTTTTGTACCACTTTAACAATGACCTAATTTGAATGACATGGGACTTCTAGGAAGATGGTGGAATGGTGAGCAGCAGAGAAATAGCCTCTCTGATATTTGGAATCCAGATGCTGGAATACAGCAATGTGAGGAAGAGGAAGAGAAAGGAAGTGGGTCCCCAGGACCCAGCAAGGATCTGAAGCAAGAATTAGGGCCCACAGGGAGAATGAAGAGAGGGTCCACAATGCAGAAGAGGGAGGTGGCAAGCACCACTTTCTCCCTGAGTCCTGGCTCACAGTATGGGAGGGGCAGCTTGAATCTGCAGAGGTATGGTGACTACCGGTGACCCCAGAGCCCTCCACAGAGAAACAAACCAGTGAATGCAGCAGACTGCAGTGGGTAGTGTTATTCAGGTTGAGATGCCCCTCAGGAGAGGATGATTGGCTAGTAGCCATTTTTTAAAGGGGCCAACTGAAGTCAGAACTCAGAGCAGCTGCAGGCTGGCTCCTTCTAGTGGCTCCAAGTGTCGGGGTGACGTAGAACCAAGTTCAACCTGGCAGAAGGTCAGAGAGCTGAGTTCAAGCTGGCGGGAGGCACTTGGAGTGTTGTAGATTGAAAAACTCAGGTCCCAGCATCATAGCCAGAAACCAGAAGCAGCCTGAACTTCAATTAAAGGCCCAGGTTTGCTGGGATTATCCACCACCACTATAATTCTACTGCTGACTTGCTGGGATCAATCAACAGATCTGGGCTCTGTCTGGCCCCCTCTCTACTAATGACAGCAGAGACATGCCTTGAAATGGACATTTTTTTTTCCTGCTTTTCTTTGCTTTTAAAACATTTTAAAATTATTTTTTTCTATTTTTTCCTCTTTTCTTGATTATTTTTGTTTCTATACAAAGGTGAACATTGTTTCTAGTTTTGTTGTTGTTGTTTTGTTCTGTTCTTGTTTCTGTTTGTTCCTTCCTTCTTTCCCTCCTGCCTTCTTCACCAGTTCCCAAAGCTTGCATAATCTTCCTTTGTCATCCAGCTTTGCTTCTAATTCCTTTCTCTCCTTCTATTTCTCTATTTTTCCCCTAAGCCCTTTTAAATTTTTCCCCTGAGAGTAAAAATCACCATATTGAGAGGATATTTACTATACACAATTTTCTGGTTTGTTTTAGATTTTGTTATATAACTACAAATCTTGTTCATATGGTTAAAGGTGGGAAATTAAAAGTTATCACAGTTTGTCATTTTCTAGGCTTTGTTTGATGTTTGTTATTACTGATTGTACTACTTTAGCTAAGGTGACATAATTGTTCTAATCAGTTGTTCTTTCTTATATTCCAAGTCTGAGATTACCTGAAGGTCACAAACAATACTGTAGGCCAGGGCCAAAGAACCAGAGCCTTGGCCAAATAGGCAGTGACTTCTTATCCCCAATAAATTGAAGTGGCAGGCTATTGCAACAGGCTCAAAACCCAAAGCCAGCTACACCTGGAAGGCTTCTGTGCAATGTAGACATTTCCTAATGGCTCTCAATAATAGCAATAAAGATACCTACCATAGACAATTTACAAGCATCAGCACAGGAATTAAACTGAAGAAAAGAAAAGAAAACGAGAAGCCATGGAAGCAAGATGATGCAATCCCAGACTTCCAGCTGGCTCAAGGCAAACTTAGGGGGCAATGAAGTGGAACAATTCAAAAGCCACCCACCTGGACTCTCTAAAGTGATAAAAGGAAAAGTAACAAAGAAGATTAATGAGGCTTTGGAAAAAATCAAATCAGAAATAATTTCTCAGATAACTGCAGAGATGATGACCATAATGAAGGGCATGATTAGTGAATCTAGAGAAGATGGAGATAAAAAAAATAGAAGAGCTTAGGAAAATGATAGAAACCATGAATGCCCATCATAGGAAAGCAATAGAATCCATGAAACAGATTCAATTGGATATCCAAGGGATTAAAAATTCTATTGAAAGTATGTCCAGCAAAGGAACCAATGTGAGGACAGACTATCAGATCTAGAAGACAGGATTGTAGTTAGTGATCATGAAAAGAAAAATTTCTTAAAAACAGCATGGAACCATAAAAAAATCAATCCAAGAGATGATAGATGATGCAAAGAAGAATAATATAAGATTGATCGTAGTCAGTGAAAAACCTGGAGATAGTGAGGATGACATAAAAAACCTACTCACAGGAGTAATGTCAGAAAACTTCCCAAGCATGGAAAAAGAATTTGACATACAGATAAGTGAGGCATGTAGAACACCAATTAGCCATGATAAAAAAATCTATCACAAGGCTTATAATAGTCAAGATTGCAGAAATTCAACACAAGAATAGAATATTAAAAGCTGTTGGAGGAAAAAAACAAATTACCTATAAAGGAAAGCCCATCAGATTACAGCAGACTTCTCAACACAAACCCTTGGGTCAAGGAGAGCTAAGAGTGAATGAAATATTTCAGGACCTAAAAGAAAACAACCTCCAACCCAGATTGATGTACCTACAAGACTATCTTTCAAAGTTGATGGAGAAATAAGATACTTCCATGACAAAGAACACCTGAAGAAATTCATGACCATCAAACTAGCACTCCAAAGTGTTCTCAAAGACATTCTAGAAAGAGATAACAAAGACTCCAGCTCCATGAACTCCAACAGACTGAATCCACCAGACAAGGCAAGTAATTAAACAGAGGAGAAAGAAAGAGAACCAATATCAGGAAAATAACATGACAAGGATAAGTCAATACATATCATTTATAACTATCAATTTAAATGCTCTCAATTCAATCAAAAGAGACTGGTAGAGTGGATCAAGAAGTAAAATCCGACAATATGCTGCATACAAGAAACACATTTGAGAGGAGCAGAGGCCCACAGTGCAGAGCAGCTGAGCATTTTGGGCTGCCAGACCACTGCCCCCAGTGCAGAGGAGTAGAGCCCTGGCCAGTGCCCAGGAGGTGAGCTTTCCAGGCTGCCATACCACTTCCCCCAGTGCCAAGGAGCAGACCCTCCCCCCAGTGCTGAGGGAGTGAGGCATGAGGGTGCCAGCAGCACCCATCCTCCCCTCATTGAAATGTGAAGACATGTATACAAGTCTCAAAACCAGATTTCCAGATCATCTAAAGCAACCCCAAAGGGAAATGAGATGGAACAATCTGATATTCAACCACCTGGACTCCCTGAACTGGCAACAAAAGAAGATCTGGAAAAAATGAAATCAGAAATAATTTCCCAGATAACAGCAAAGATTGTGCCCATAGTGCAAGACATGATTAATAAATCCAGAGAGGACACAGATTAAAAAATAGAAGATCTGAGGAACATGATGGAATCCCAACATAGGAAAAAATGGAATCCATAAAACAGATGCAAACAGATTTTCAGGAGATTAAAAACTCCATTGAAAGTTTATGCAGCAGAATGAGCCAATGTGAGGACAGAATTTCAGATACAGAAGATAAGATTGCAAATAGTGACCAGGAAAAGAAAAATTTCTTTAAACTAGTAAGGGACCACGAGAAATCAATCCAGCAGCTGCTAGACAATACAAAGAAGAATAACATAACACTGATAGGAGTCAATGAAGAAACAGGAGAGAGTGCAGATGACATAAAAAAACTGTTCACAGACATGATGGCAGAAAACTTCCCAAGTGGGGAAAAAGAACTTGACATACTGATAAGTGAGGCATATAGGACTCCAACTAGCCTTGATCAAAAAAATGTACACATAGGCATATAACAGTTAACATTCCAGAAGCTCAAGAGAAAAACAAAATTCTACAAGCAGTTAGAGAAAAGAAGCAAAGCACATACAAAGGAAAGCCCATCAGAATCACAGCAGACTTCTCAATGCAAATCCTCAAGGCAAGAAGAGCTTGGAGTGACATATTTCAAGCCCTTAAAGGAAAACAGCCTCCAACCCAGATTGATGTACCCTGCAAAACTATC